TCTTTGAGTGGAGAATTCTTCACTCGTTTATGTATACTAATTTTGGATATGTTATGTGTACTTGAATAACTAGTATGCTCTTGTGTACTTTTGAATGAGAGAAATTTTTATTCATGTCATTTTCTATTGATCTATTTATCTAAATTTATTATTTTTTGAAATTACAATATGTTAATAAACAAAAGGTTAATATTATCACAAAACAAAACATAAATAAAATAATTAATAACACCTAAAATATACATATTTTAGCGACCAAATAAGTAAGCTTTAGCAACCAAATCCGGTAGTCATCAGTACCTATTGGCGACGAACAAATCTATTTGGTCGCCGAATCCTTCCTCAGTTCGCGGCAAATTTTGGTATTTTTCCGGGAAGCAATCTTTATAGGCAACCAACTGATTACTATAAGGCGACGAAATAAATTGGTCGCGTAAAGGTTTTGGCGACGAAAATTAGTTTTCGTCGCCTTTTGTCATCTGGTACTTTCAGCCACGAGCCTTAGGCGACCAAGCTAGCGACAAAATTATTTCGTCGCTAAAGGGTTTTGGCGACGAAATGTCAGCTTTTAGCGACCAAAGGTGGTGGTCGCCAAAAAGGTTTTTCCTTGTAGTGTGTTAAAAAAAAAAAAAAAAAAAAAAAAAAAAAAAAAAAAAAAAAAAAAAAAAAAAAAAAAAAAAAAAAAAAAAAAAAAAAAAAAAAAAAAAAAAAAAAAAAAAAAAAAAAAAAAAAAAAAAAAAAAAAAAAAAAAAAAAAAAAAAAAAAAAAAAAAAAAAAAAAAAAAAAAAAAAAAAAAAAAAAAAAAAAAAAAAAAAAAAAAAAAAAAAAAAAAAAAAAAAAAAAAAAAAAAAAAAAAAAAAAAAAAAAAAAAAAAAAAAAAAAAAAAAAAAAAAAAAAAAAAAAAAAAAAAAAAAAAAAAAAAAAAAAAAAAAAAAAAAAAAAAAAAAAAAAAAAAAAAAAAAAAAAAAAAAAAAAAAAAAAAAAAAAAAAAAAAAAAAAAAAAAAAAACCTATTTTTTCTCTAAATAATGTACTGTGAAACCCTATATTTTTTTTATATGTATACTAATATTTCATGGAAATTAAATATTTAAAATTAATATTTTTAATAATATATATATATATATATATATAAAGTTGCATGGCAAGCCACGTGAAAGCTTTTGTTATAACCTATCAAATTTATTATATGGTTTTAATTTTAGAAAAGCTTTTTATTGCTTACTAAAGTTTCTCCTAAGTTTGACATGTTGCTTTTTAGAGTCCTCAAAAACCACAATAAGCATGAGGTGGTGAATATTAGCATGAGGTGTAAGAACAATAGGTAGTCTTGTATATATAAATGTAATTGGAAAGTGCTTACTAAGCACTCTCCGGAGCCAGTACCTAAGACTAAATGGGGTGGCAGTTTTACCTTCAAGGCACCCATGTAGTCTATAAATCCTAGGATGTAGTCTAGAAATCCCTAGGTTAGTTATGTGGCACAATGTTAAGCTTCATCCATATTTTCCTTACCGACTCTAACTTACTATAAATAGTCCTACCTAATAGTTATTGGATCATAAGTTCTTCAAGTTATAGTAGTTTCCTAAAAAAAATCGTAGACAAAAGAAAATAAGAGAACTAAGTGTGGTGAGGTTTTGAAGAAGCTCAAAGTATTTGAACTTGCAACTGGGAGTTATACGATAGCTTTGGTTTTGAGGTAGACGTTTTTCTTGGGGAGGTTTTGCATACATTGATTTAATTAAATATTGTAATTACTATATTATGCTTGGTAAAATTATTTGATTATTATTGTAAATCCTATATTATGCTTGGTTATTTTATTTGATTGTTATCCTTGATATTGGGTGTTTACATGTTGTCAATTATCATTATAATTTGATTAATTTTGACATATTCATATGTTGTTGGTGGTGGTTGGAATTTTTGGATTGATAAAGAAATTATGAAAAAGAGGATAATGGGAAGAATCTTTTGTGTAGTTGAGTCTAACCATTGTAGGGACAAAGTTTAGGCGAGCCCGTGTGCACAGTAGATTAGGAAATCGGCGGTATAATTGTCGATTGGGTGATTTGGGTTTGGAGATCAATGGTGTAGACAAGATGACTAGCAAAAGGGGAATTATGGGATAATTGAAATGGGTGTTAGTTTACACTATGTGAAAATTGACCTTTAGCTTCGGATAATATCCGTTGCTAAAGGTAACCCAGAACTGAAGTATTGGGAACCGATGCATATACTATAGTGATACACTTCGGATATTATCCGTCGCTAAAGCTTATTTACAACTTCGGTATTCACTTAATCGCCGATGCATAAGTTGTTACCATGTGCCAAAAAAGCGTTGACCTCCGATGCCTTAAACCTGTAATAGCATCAGGGAATATGTTAGAACTGATGCTAAATACTAATGATAGCATTAATGGTTTTGTTTATACTAAATCGTGTTCAGACTTACCACTTCAGAAAATATGTCACTGCTGTTACAAATTATGGTTTACACATTCATTTTTTGTGCTTATGCTGAAGTGAAAAGCCAACAAATAATTTGACTTTCTACAAATATTATTGACCCTTCGGATTATAGGCTTCGGTTCCCACAGAGTGCTGATGTTGTTTTTAATTTTTAACTTCAGTTGTTATGGCAAAACTGAGGTTGTTATACACAATAGACATCGTTGTTACTAATAAAGTGTAAGCAATTTTCACGTTTCACATCACATTTTACTTAGTTTTTGTCTCTATATTCTCAAAATATAGAGGCATCTCATCCATTTCATATATATTGCCATTGCAACATCTAAAAAACATTCCTATATATAATCCATACATCATCCATACATAAATAAGCAAAATACTACCAAAACAAGGAGAATGTTCAAACTCAAATCCACTCTAGCACATGACATGCCCATTCATCTCGAACCTCGTCCAATTTCATTTGGGTGTAAAACGCCTTCTTTTTCCCACGACTCGCATACTGAAATGAAATGAAGAGACCATATAAGATTAAGAAAAACTATATAAAATTTTTACCAAGAAGCTATGCACAATCTTTAACAATAAGCTAAAGAAAAACTATATAAAATCTTTAACAAGAAGCTAAAGAAAAACAAAAATGCCATACAAAAATACAAGAAAAGATCCTCTGTTTCAATCTTCATACAGTCAGGTCTGCTTCCAATTTGCTGAAGACTTTGCCACCAGACATCAATGTGAATTAACCTGCATGTCATAGCCAATGACACATCATGGTGAAACCAAAATTTTCCAGCACTGTAATTTGGAGATTAATATATGCCCAGAAAAACCCAAGACATTTTAGGCTTTTCAACCACCAAAATTAGATAAGTAAAGCTCTACTATAAAAGCCTTTTTTTAGCCATATTTTCTACAAATGGGTCAACAACAGACTTTTTTCTAATTGAAAAAGAACTATTCGACACTTAATGCAGTTACCTTTATTTCATATAAGAATTCAACAAAACTTTACAAGTTTTCTATATTCATAGGAATCAACGGGAGAATGTTAAATTAATCAAGATAAAGAAAGTACTTAAAAACTAGAATTCACAAAAAGTTTCATTTTTATGCACCATTTATGGGCCTGCTAATCAAAAAATTTTTAAAAGTTTTAAAAAAAAAAAAAAAAAAAAAAAAAAAAAAAAAAAAAAAAAAAAAAAAAAAAAAAAAAAAAAAAAAAAAAAAAAAAAAAAAAAAAAAAAAAAAAAAAAAAAATAAAAAACCCCCCCCCCCCCCCCCCCCCCCCCAAAAAAAAAAAAAAAAAAAAAAAAAAAAAAAAAAAAAAAAAACCTACCCCCCTTTTTTTTAAAAAAAAAAAACAAAAAAAAAAAAAAAAAAAAAAAAAAAAAAAAAAAAAAAAAAAAAAAAAAAAAAAAAAAAAAAAAAAAAAAAAAAAAAAAAAAAAAAAAAAAAAAAAAAAAAAAAAAAAAAAAAAAAAAAAAAAAAAAAAAAAAAAAAAAAAAAAAAAAAAAAAAAAAATGATATGCTTGATAAGAACTAGATAGTAGGAAAGTCAATACACTGCATAAAGAAGCTTTAAAGCACGCATGCTGATTCGCCAATACCAGGTTTAAGAAAATGCTAACCTCTTCACTAGAGACAAACACAACAGGGGCTGCTTTACCAAGCTCAATCCCTTCAGCTATTAGTGAAGCCATCTTCTAGTTTAAAAGTATGGGCTGACATGAAAACAGAACCACAAATAAAGAAGAAGATAACAATAGTCAACATGATGAACAAATATTGAGCCAACTTTCCATATAAAAAAATATAAAAAAAAAACTGAAACAATTTTTAAAAAGAAAAAAAACAGCACCTCCTAGGAAAGCTACGTCGGAGAAATAGTTGTCAAAAATGCATATTTTTGTCACAAAGCCAACTTTACAGCAAAAGAAACCAATATGTCAAGAGTAAATTCCAAATTCAGTGTTTATTATACTAGTACTGTGTCAAAATCTTTACAAGGTACCGATTATTGTCCAAGATTCTTAACATCAAAGTATATATATCCATTGTTGTTGCAGTCAAAAGCAAAGCAGCCCCCATCCATTGCTGCAGCAGTCAAAAGCAAAGCAGTCCCCATCCATGGTGTGACTATTTTGTACCCAATCACATAATTTTTTCTTAGGGCAGATATATACTGTAAACAATATTCATATATGCTAAACCTCCTTAGAAGGCACAAATCAGCATGAAAAGATTGCAAGTGCAAATGTAACGACCCGGTCCTAAATAAATTGGTAAATATTAATTTATTCAAATAAAGGACCATTGCTTTTAGAATATTTTATTAGGTTTAAAGCTGACTTTTTGATCGGGAAGGAATTTGGGAATTCCGACTGTACCGTTATGTAGAGCAAGGTGAGATGAGTCCGTAGACACGTAGTGGGCTCGAATCGGAGCTATAACGAGAGAGATACGATCAAAATACCCTCAGTGGCATAATCATAAATATTGCGAAAAGGGTTGATAAAGTCAGAAAAAGCCCTCAGCTCTCTCTCTCTCTCTCTCTCTCTCTCTCCCCTTGATATCGTCCCTCTCTCTCTTCGATTCACAGCTGTCCGGCCACCACAGGACGTGAGACCGGTCACGTTTGAACCGGCTCGATGTCCCGGTCACATCGCACCCAAAATCCCGGCCGAAAACCTCGAATTCAAGCCACGGCTTCGACTGGTTTGAACCGGGTTTTTCCCGGAGTTGCGCCGCCGCCTCCGCCTCCCAATGCCAGTGAAACAGGTATGGTTCCTCACCTATTTTGCAAGCTCTAGCTGCCTGTTGGGTAGGATTGGATCAATTCTTAACGTAGATAACTCGATTTAGAATCTAGGTTTCGGCCGAATTTCGGGTTGAAATTCCGGCCACTTTCCGTCCGAATTGGACGTTGCCGCAGTTGAATAAGTTGCTCCACTTGTCGAATAGCAGTTGTAGCCGTAAGGGTGGCTCTCCATTTTGAAGTTCTCTGGCGATCAATATTGCTTTGGACACCCCCACGCGCTGCCGGCGCGTGGCACTCTAGCTAAGGGGCATTTTTGTCCCAATGCGATCCCCTTGATGTCACGAGCACGTAGGTGTGCTCGGATTCCAATTTGGATACCGTTAAAGTCCCAAATCGATATCGCATATTGCACGTTATCCGGGTTCGCTAGGTTTGGACCGTTGGATGGTCTTGAATTGATATTATGTTAATCTAGACATCCTTAGAATCATGTAGGATTCGACGGATCGTAAAATGGAGTCCCGGATACTCCGGAAATGCCAACCCTAGGGCTAGGGTTACAGTAACCGTCCGATCGTGCGATTGTGAGCGATCCAACCGTCCAATCTGGACCAAACTTGCAGGATGTGTGTCCTAAGCCTTGTAGAATACATAGGAACATTCGGATTGGAACTTGGAGGTCGTGGGTCTCGTGGGCCCAGTTGACCAAGTTTGGGTAGTTGACCCTTGGTTGACCGTGAGTCTTCCGAGGTAGTTTTACTATCCTAGGAGGATTATAATGACCCTAATGACAGGCCTTGAGCGTTGTTGAGTTATGTGGATTTAGGATATTAATATATTATTTTAATTGAGGGATTATCGGATGCTAGATTGTTGTTGAGGTTTATACAATATTAGATTTAATTTATATTTATTTGTATTTATAAAGGTATAAAAAGAGTTTAGATTGTCAGTTTGATGTGCTATACGCACTACCCTATGTACCTCCCAGGATTTTGATTACACTGTAAGTACCACCATGTGATTGTGAGATCGCACGTGTCGTAGGAGTAGCCGGCGTGTTGACAAATTCCATACGTGGCATTGGTATATCCGGCGTATGGGGAGATATTGTGATATTGTGTTGAGGTCACACGTGTCGTAGGAGTAGCTGGCGTGTTGATAAACCCTATACATGGCGTTGGTATATTCGGCGTATGGGGAGATATGTGATATTGTGTTGAGGTCGCACGTGTCGTAGGAGTAGCCGGCGTGTTGACAAACCCCATACGTGGCGTTGGTAGATCCGGCGTATGGGGAGATATGTGAGATAGTGATTGGTGAATTGTGATTTAAAGTAAAAGGGTTTTAGAAAAAAACTACATGTGGCTTGATCCATTAGTGTGGGTACGTAGGCAGCCTAGGGTAGCGCCTAGGTGCAGCCGCGAGTTGAACTTTACTTATTTGTTTTATTTAGAATGGTATGGACCTTGTCTTCGGTCCTAAAACTCGGATAAAACCGAGGTGTGATTTGATAATTGTTCATACTCCCGTTTTGACTATGGGAGGGTGGTGTTAGTATGTTGTGGTCGAATTAGGGGTAAAACCCGTTTGGATTGTTGTATGATTTTGGCCGAGACCTTAAACTATTTGTGTTTGTGTTTGGAGGTTAAAACCTCGTATATTGGATAGTTTGGAAAGTTAGATGTTACGAATTGCTTTTGGCATTCTTAAGTGAGAGTGAATTTATTGTTTGCCTTGTTTAAGGTATTAATTGACTTAAGAGTGTTGGTGGTTTCACTTCGGATTATTTGGAGGCCGGAGGCCGTCTATGTGAATTGCATGTTATTACATTGTGCGTGCTGCCTGTTGGGATATTAAATTGTGAATTTTGTGCAGGTTGAATTTGGGGAATGTTCAATTTATAGGGGAGACTCTGCGGAATCTTCGGTTGAAAGTCTCGTGCCCTTATCCCTTTTTGGAAAAAGGTGGCTATAGTTTCAGAAGTGGACCCGACATCGGGGTGATGTTGGGAATTCCATAGGATTCGTCTCGGGTTTCGGGAAATTCGGGGCAAGTCCTGTCAACAAATGCAAAAAATAAAAAATAAACAAGGAATAACAAATCAAGCACAATAGCAAACAAAGAAGACATCAATTAACGCGTGTTCGCCCCAAATTGGGCTACGTTCACAAACTGTCTAAATCACTAAATAAAACCTTAGTTCATTGACTCCCAGTCGGAGACAATCATTTGAGAGTATGAACCGTGACAAGGCACCTACGCTTAACCTGCATTAGAACCCATTAGATGGTAGTTATTTATCTTTAAAAAGTGGAGAAATTTGTCATTGATGATAACTTAATTAGGCTATTCTTTGAACCCATTAGAATTTCCTCGGGGCATGTAGATGGTGTCTCCATACAAATTCACTACTCAACACAAAGACCAGCAGCTCGTACACAAAGTGGATGGTATGCTGGAAAGAAAAAGAAAAGGCAGCAAAAAAATAAGAAAAAGTTTGTTGATGCTCTTTTTGGGAGGTCAACTTAGAGAGTAGGTGATTGTGGATGATGGGTGAAGGTGAGGACCTTCAGCACGTGTATGAAGACTTGGGCAAGCAATAAATGTAAAGAAGACAAGATATAAGTGGTTCACCCTTAATGAATGGGCTACGTCCACGGAGAAGTATGTTCTCATTATAATAGTGTATGATTACATTTGTCCAATATAAAGATGACAAGTGAGACGCCTAGACTAGGGATCTAGACGAGAGTCCTCGACTCAAGGGTCTAGCTCTGTGACCCGGATCCTCTTCTAAGTGGAGAGAAGTCCCCCTTTCACATGAATATTATTCCCTATTTATAGGGAGGTGAAAGTGGGAGGTTTGTGTAGATTTTTGATGTGGGACTTTGTGCAAGTCGTGGTGGTGGTGACACGTGTTATGATGTTGATGCTCTTGATACTAGTTGTTTTGATGTTGGATATGCTCGGCTGATTATGGTGTAAACAGTAGTCTCCTAAGTTTGCGGTCAAGAAGTAACTTCTGGGTTGGGAACTTGTTAGATTTTGTGTAATCATGACCGAGCATTCCAGGTTTAGTGGGAGCCATAGGGCATTCCTTAGTCCCCCAAGTTGGCAAGCCAGAAGTTGCGTCACCACTTGGAAGGTATAAGAAAAGCTGTGTTAGCCTCTAGTATTGTTAGTAGCGGGGTACCTGGGCATTTGGTGAGGAAGCCGGGTCTGGGGCCTTGATGCTTCGGTGGGTGTCTTCGGTAGCTTTGGGAAAAAGGGCTGACCTTTTAGCACCTTCGGTAGGGGAGTGTCGTGTGATCCCTCCTTTAATTTCAATGCTCCTTGCCGTTCGGCAAATTTTTTTTATTTTATTTATTATTTCTTATTTTTGAATGGCCAGACCTTTGGGAAGGCTATGAAAGAGAAAAGCCAAGGAGCTTCCATATGGCTCTTGCCGTACGGCTTTGAAAGAAGATGGGACTTAGGGGGAAAAAAAAAAAAAAAAAAAAAAAAAAAAAAAAAAAAAAAAAAAAAAAAAAAAAAAAAAAAAAAAAAAAAAAAAAAAAAAAAAAAAAAAAAAAAAAAAAAAAAAAAAAAAAAAAAAAAAAAAAAAAAAAAAAAAAAAAAAAAAAAAAAAAAAAAAAAAAAAAAAAAAAAAAAAAAAAAAAAAAAAAAAAAAAAAAAAAAAAAAAAAAAAAAAAAAAAAAAAAAAAAAAAAAAAAAAAAAAAAAAAAAAAAAAAAAAAAAAAAAAAAAAAAAAAAAAAAAAAAAAAAAAAAAAAAAAAAAAAAAAAAAAAAAAAAAAAAAAAAAAAAAAAAAAAAAAAAAAAAAAAAAAAAAAAAAAAAAAAAAAAAAAAAAAAAAAAAAAAAAAAAAAACATGAGTGTGATGCCGGGGTTTCCACAGGATTAATTCGTCTCGGGTTATGGGAAATTCAGGGTGGGTCCTGGAAATCAGCAACTAAGATGGCCCCTTCTTCTCCATAACTTGGGCTTGAACTTGAAAAATGTGAGAAAACTTGAGTAATGCGATTAAGCCAAGAAGTCAGTCAACTAGATGTGAATAGCATGGAAAATGTGTTCTAAAAACAAACTAGTGTATATTGAAAAGGTACTATTATGTGGACTAATATAACTACTATTTAAATCGCAGGAGTATTTCAAAAGATCATGCATAGAAGAAAGCAACTTAGAACTTACCAAAAAGGGTGTCTCTCAAATAAAATTATTTGAGGGATCCCTCAATAAAAGGGGACTGATATATATATATATATATATTGTGTTTGTTTATTAACAGCAATGGCAATGAATTGTGAGACTGAAACTGAAGGATGCAGTAATCCGCGCATAAGCTTAGTCTGGCAGGGCTCATGTATTAATTCTCGAAAATGTAACGAGAAATGCAAGAACTTGGAGTCTGCACTTTGTGGACAGTATGAGGGTTTTCGTTGGTCCAACATGCATATGCTACCACAGCTGCTAAATGCAAGCAATCTAGAAATGGATGATTTTCAAATTAAACTTATCATATGTAAGAATTTTGTGAAAAAACAAAAAAATTTGAATTATGACAACTAGTTGTCGTATTTTATGTTGATGATCTGGATTTTCCAAAGGGTTTGTCAAATAAAGATGCCGAAAGTTTAGTTGCTTTTATTGCGCTGGAATTTTTCAAAGACGAGGAAAAAAAAAATTAAACAGGATGATGTAAATTATGATGAGCTTATGGAAATGAAGACCAAAAACAAAGAATTGGAAATAGAGATTGAAGAACTACATCATGAAAATTATGATTTTCATGTTAAACTATATAGTGTATCACTGTAAATAAAAAGTCTCAGTGTATATATCTATCATCTCCCATCTCCATTCTCCACTGATATCATCAAATCCCTATAGTTTTTCTTTGTTCTCATGTATACTATTATGATTAGAAGCTCTATATGGCCTTTATGCCCATACATCTCCACAACTACACGTACTCATATATTAATCTAATAATATTTTTTCTTGTTCTCAATATCCGGTGTGCATAAATATGTTTTGATCATATCACCATATCAATTTCTAATTGCCTCCGCGAGGATTTGATTCTATTCTAGCTAGGTAACCCCAAAATGTCTAGTTGATGTATTTTAATTAGCTCGAGCTGGCCATAGGTGCATGAATGCTGCCCACAGGCACAAACTATCGTTTTCGTAGGTGTCAAATGGTGCCAAATTAACTTTTGTAAATATTAAAATTTCTTAGTATATTTCTAATTAGTGCCTAAAGTGTGTAGGCCTAAAAGATTAGGAGCATTTAGAATTACAGACATTTCAAATAAGAATATTGAGAAGAGAGATCGATGTTGAAATAGAAAATGACAGATGGTGAGGGAAATATAGGAAGGTTGAAGAGTGGACGTCCTCACATGGTTAAATGCATGAGTTTCCTTTTGGTCCTCTAAATCATTCACGTCAGTAACTCTCCAGCTCTATTTTTAGTGTCAAATTGATCCTACCATCAAATTTTGTCAATTTGAGAGCTACAAACATTCAATTTGGCAACTAAATTATATACATATATGCATTGAACAAATGAGAACATAAGTACTTTTTTTTTGGTTGAGAAAAAGTGATAGTATTTTATTGATAAAACATAATAAAGTACAGAGCAACCATAGTGCCAAATATGAGTACAACATCTCCAATGACCAAATACAAAAACAATTTGGTTTGGTCTAGAGACTATTACACTTAAACATAAAAATATTTAAAACTTCACTTCGGCAGACAAAAGCACTTGTACTCAGACTTACAATATAGATCCACCGTGCAACGATGGAAACGGCAAATCCGTATCAAAAAGTTGAAAAGTAAAATACAAACTTCAGCAAACTCCTAAAGAGTTTATATGAATTATTGGACTATATCAAACAAAGAAACAAGAACACCGCTCCACATCCTCTCCGGCAAGTGAAGAGAGAGAGAGAGAGAGAGAGAGAGAGAGAGAGGGAAAGGGGGTAAAAAGCCACCCACCCTCAAAATGGGGTAGCGACTTGCTATATAATCTCTAGAGTTTTTGTTCTCTCTACAAACTCGAGAGAGAGTTTTTCCAAATATATGTAATTAAGATAAGTACTTTCTTACATGTAAAGAAGTTGCCAACCCTTAAAAATATATTGCTAATGGCTGGCCCTTTATTTTCTTCTTCGACAACCCTTAAACGTATTCTAGGGTTATAATGGCTGGCTCTTTATAATCATAAATAGTGTAAGATCAATTCAATCTTGTGTGCTCTAAATAATATAACTTTATAATATTATTATTACTTCGCATATGGCCAAGACTGCACATTTGATCCACTCCTTTCTCATCTTGAATGCCATCCTCTTCACCAATATGGGTGAGTATATAAGTAGTCAATTCAATTATAGTAGCTTCATTAATTTACAGTATTCTTTTGTAGATAATTAATTATAATTACTAGCATTTACTAACAGACTCCTAACATTTACTTGTAATCATTTGCACTAATAATCATCATCCTTGTTATAAAGGTGGACATTTTGGAAATGTTGTATGTTTTCTGGCTAGCACAGAGATACATATGGTTATGAAATTTAGATTTTTTCTATTGATGCATGCAGATGTTCAAGCATATATTCCAATAAAAGCATATATACGTACGTATATCGCTCGTGATAATTTTCGTATACATTTTTGTTTAGTATGACGTATTTTTGTGTGTATTTATTTAGAAATGGCAAAGAGGTGTGAGAAAGAAGCAAACCGTGAAGGATGCAGTAGCTCACGACTAAGCATAGTGTGGCATAGTTCATGTTGGAATTCAGGAAAATGTAACCAGAAACGCAAGAATTTGGAGGCCGCAATCTGCGGGCAATGTGAGATGTTACCCAGTCCTAAATGCTTCTGCTACCATAGATGTTGAATGCAATATATGCACAGATATTTCATACATGACTATTAATTTTAATTTAAATACAGTTAATTTCCAAAATGCTACATTAATTCTTTATAGAATTAAATTCAATTTTTAGTACCCTATATAATATAAGAAGGAGAAAAACTTTCATATCACGAAGATGTACAGGTCAACATTACCACGTAAATATCCTATACTTTTGTATTGGGGATGTGAAAGTGCTCCAATCCCAATCCCATCCACAGTTGCAACAAAATGCACAAAACAGCTCTATGTGACAGACTTCCACACGAGGTGCTCAATTTTCTTAGTTGAGTGATTTTCAAAGATGGTCCATGAAGTTTACGAAGTTATCATCTTTCGTTCTTAAGATTTATTTATGGCATAATTGGTCCTCACAATGACTCCTCATACATCAAGTTGGTCTATATCGTAAAATCACAACCAACGAGGGAATTGCCCCGTTGGTAGTCGACTACAACCGACTGTTCTGCATTTATATTCTGAAAAGCCCCAACAGAGTGTTGATTACTCAAAATTCATGGCCTGAAATAAGTGATGGTGGTATGATTACGAATACACTTTGGAAAAAAAAAAGGAAAAAAAAAGTGATGACTACTTGACTATCGAAAATTAATTGTCTGGCTTCTCCACCAACTCATATAATCTCATCTTTATATAATATAATCTTTTGTGAGGCCCAAATGTCTTTTGTGTTGTATGTATTATGTAATATCTTCCCAATTTCGATTTTGTTTTCATCGAGGGTGTCCAAAAAAGAGAGTTTTTTTCTCTCTCTTCACACTGTTCAAACTTTTTCACACTTGAGTGTCGGCCCTCATTCTTGTTTACCAAGTCCAAGTTTTGCCCTCTTCACAAGGGGAACTGGCATGTCACAAGGATGTCACTATTTTGTTATTCTCATCCAATCATGACTCGTCATGTAAAATCTTTATGAAGTGTGGCCGAACATGATTGATTGGAGATAGAAAAACAATGTTATCTCTATGATATACAAATTTTTCTCCTCTCTATATGTTACGTATCTTTATACGTTTCACACAATGAAAAACTAAACACACCCAAAAAAGAAAAAAGGAAATCAAGAAATTCTCTAAGACAAAAGCTTATATTTTATCATAGATACTAGCTAGTCAACTAAGCTTATCTTTTATCTTAGATACTAGCTAGTTAACTAGCCCTTGTAAACAAATTAAGACAGCCACTTGACCAGGTCTTTACCCACAAAACACTCATTCATGTTTACAGCTAGATCCATTGTATATCTTGTTCACCCTAAGGCTATCTCCAACCCATGAGGCTAAACGTAAAATATCTCAAATTTTAGCACAAATCCTCTCCCAATTTAAGAAAATGAAGAGGCTAAAATTTTTGGAATATCCAAACTTGGGGCCAAATAGCAGTCCAACTATTGCCTGGACCCAAAAACATTTCGGTGGCATCCATTGAAGTTGATGCAGCACATGTGCAAGGAATCTGTTGGGGGGCTCGCGCGTTGCTGTGCTACTGCTTTGTGGCAACTGCTGGCTCGTCACGTGTCGCGGCATGGTGATGTTGCCGTTGGAATCCAATGACAACAACGGCTGAAATTTAAATCCAACGATCAAAACAATATTTTAAATTAATCTAAATAAGATCCAACCCCAAAACTCACTCCAAACTCTATAAATACCCACCCATTTCTCAATTAATCTACCAAAAATATTTTTTCTATTTCTCAATTTATTTTTCCTTTGTCAATTTCATCAATCTCATTTCATTCTCATACTTTCATATCATTTCAAGCACATCATCTTCTTCATTCTCATTCTTTTCATATCATTTCAAGCTTTCAATGAATAATCACGGCAATGCCATCTTTTCCCTTATGTTTGATGATGATTCAGATGATGAGGAACATCATCAGAGAGTGATACAAGCCATTGTCCACCATACTTCACTAGAGAATGAAGCCACAAAACATGGTGGGTCGGAAGTAGGTCGTGAGTACAAGAACCGTGAGAGGGAAGATCGCCATCGCAATCTCATGTCCGACTACTTCATTGAAAGGCCACATTTTAATACTACGGAATATCATAGGTAGTTATGAATGAGGAAAGAGTTGTTTTACCACATCTTAAATGATGTTGTCAACCACGAGCTATACTTTCACCAGAAAAAAGACTGGCTCGGCCGATTGTTCCAAAAGACTAGGAAAGAGCAACAATGAACCGCCATTAGCTCCCAAGCCGTGTAATTGTAATTCCCACCAGAATTTCGGATCCTCATTCGTTGTTTTACTGGTCCTTGTCTTTCGTATGCTCGCATGGGGATGCTCCGCTGACGTGACCAACGAGTACTGTAGATTGGGTGAAAGCACAGCTCTTGAATCACTCCATAAGTTTTGTTGCGTTGTTGAAGCCGTGTATGGACAATGGTACCTCAAGTCTCCAAATCCAGCTGACCTTTTCATGCTATGTTAGGAAGTCTTGACTGCATGCATTGGAAATAGAAGAGCTACCAATCTGCTTGAGCAGGCCAGCTTACCAAAAAAAAAAAAAAAAAAAAAAAAAAAAAAAAAAAAAACACTATTTTGCTAGGGGCTATGGCCTCGCAGACACATGGATATGGCATGCCTTTTTTAGAGCTGCTGGATCCAACAACGATATCAATATTTTTGCTCGTTCTGCATTGTTCATTGATGTGGTGCATGGAGTGGCTCCTCATGTTGAATATATTGTCAATGAAAATCAATACCATTTGGCAGATAGGATCTACCCTGTTAGGCTACTTTGGTGAAGACCATCTCTTCTCCTGATAACAAAGAAGAGGCTTTTTGTACAAATGCAAGAAGCGTACAGGAAAGATGTTGAAAGAGCATTTGGAATACTACTGGCTCGATAGGCTATTGTTCGAGGCACTGCACGTATGTCGTGCAAGGATAACCTCCACTCAATCATGATGACGTGCATACTTTTGCACAACATAATTGTGGAAGATGAGTATGAATACGTTGAAGAGGAATTTGATGGTGAGGATACGTGTCCACAACAATCCAGGAGAGCCAGAGCAGGACAATATGAGCTAGAGGCAAGCATTACATACGAGTACCACCAAGATAGACAGACTCTCTCTGATTACATGATTCATCATAATAGAGTTCGATCTCCACATGTGCATCAGAATCTCTGACATGATTTGATTGATCACCTTTGGAGTAGCTTTGGAGATAGTGGTTTGTTGACCTAAAATTGTATGTTTCTTTTATGTTTTGTGTGTGTGTGTGTGTGTGTTTTTTTTTTAAATTTAAATTTTTATGTTGTGTGTTTTCTTTTGGAATAAAATTATATTTGTAGAATTTCAATTTTTTTTGGTCAAATTGTTCAAAAAATTAAATTTATAAAGTTATTTAAAAAGATTAAATGAAGAAAAGTTATCTATAAAAAAAAAACAAAAAATTAGACTTAAACCATTTAATGAAGTTGCGGACTTAAAATTTGAGTTCGAAGGGTTGGGAAAAAAAACGGTTTGAGTCTAAGCAAAACCCAAATAGTTACTTTTTGGAGGAGGAAAATTTGGGTTTAGCCCCAAATGGGTAGGAGAAGGCCTAAGAGGAAAGAGTGGGACCAAGCACACTAGGAATATTGTTCTAACCTCTCCTCTATTGGACCAAGTTAGCAAAAGTATGTTTGAAGCTCAAGTTGTAGGCCTCGAACTGATCCAATTTGTGTCTTTGCGACAGGTGTGCCACTGTTGAAACTTTCGCCAAGCCCAACAGAAAAAGATTGCTTAATTAATGATGTAATTATGATAGATTGCGCTTATAATCTGACGTCTAATCAAGCCATTGTGCTCTAAATGGGGAACTGGCTCAGATTAGTTCCTTTGTATGCCTTAATGAAGAGGACTTCAATATTCTACTTTTATACACTAGTTCTTGTAAGATATCAAAGAAATAGCCCTGATCGGGCTAATAAGTTGATGATCTGGCTAAAACAACTTTAGTCCGATGAGAACAGAAATAGACTAAAACAAAAGAAATAAGCTTCATTAACTCAAATGTAATCAGAAAAACATGAGATGGGATTGAAGATTTTCTCCACTTAACCCATTATAATTGGTAATTCAATTGAATACAATTGAAAAGATGATAAACTCATGAACTGATACGTAGATGCAGAAAGAAATAGACTCGCTTAGCAACTAGGAATTGATACCAAGTGTTGGTAGAGCAATAAACTTAAAAAGGTAACTCAAGAGTGGTCCACTGGATATCTTAATACTAAAAGGATTAGTTGAGTTCAACAAGATGAGGTGTTGATCAAGTGTGAAGTCTTTTTTCGTTGATTGAGTGTGAAGTCTTTTTCTGTGGGAAAAGCTATGTCTTTTAGAGTTGTGCTCCGCATCTATTTATAGGCTCTTTGGTTCTTGAATTTGTACGCTTGCTGAAGAGATATTTTAGTCTGTGTCAGGTCTTGCTTTTTGCACCGTCGATGGTGGCTTGTCCATACATAGTTTCATGGTTCAAATCATTTAATGCCAGTTCTCAACTTTTCCCTTCGACATTTGACTTTTCTAGTTGTCGAAGTCGACTATGAGTTTTAAACTAGGTAACTGTGCCATTAACCGAGTAAAAGAAGTTTCCAAGTGTAAACAACGACTTTATTCTGAAAAGCCAAAGATATTGGGTCACCTGATATCAGGCCTTAATTTCTAAATATTTAGTTTTCTAAATTCGAAGAACCCAAGGTCCATTTTAATTGAAAAATCCCTAAATGGGCTTTTTTCCTCTTTCGGTCCAAAGATAACCCATTCATCACCAAGAGGAATCAAAGTAGTGACATGTTGTATTGGTCATGAAAAGAAGTTCTTTGGTGTAGACTGTTATATATGACATAACAATCGCAGGGGTGGGATATCAGTGTGGTGTGGAGCCTGATGACACCAAAATAGAGAAAGGCTTTTGCTTTTTTGAGTGTAGTCGAGCAATTTATGTTGTATGATGGATGGACAAAAAGATTTCTCCATACCAAAAAAAACATCTCACAAAAAAAAAATTTTTTTTTTTTTTTTTTTTTTTTTTTTTTTTTTTTTTGGTGGTGGTTTTGTTCAATAGATGTAAATTATAAACCTTATGTTACAAAATTTAAATATCTTGAGTCTGTAAATTTATAACAAATTGGTTTTAGATCGAATGCTCAAATCTTTGCCCTGCAATGCTAAAGAAACAAGTGCATGGGCACAAAAATGTTGGCCCCCCTCCCATTTCTTCCTAGCAAGTGGGCATCTTGTTTTTGCAAATAATCTCACGGAAGAATATTCACGGATGATCCATTTCTTCGAACTCAAACCTCTTCTTTCTTGATCCCTGAAAAAATAGATTTAGTCAACAGAGCACACCCGGGGGGTGTGAGCCAAAGGCCCTCCAATACCTAAATCAGTAAAAGAGGTCTCAGAAGATACAACTAACACTAAAAGGATGGAGTTTTCTCTCAAAGGGAGAGACGAGCAGTCAGAGCCGTGTGTGAAGGTGTATGGCCAGAGCCATAAGGGATAGGAGAGAGTAAGAGTGCCTCTCTAGGGTTTTTCAGCTTAGAAAAGGATTACCTCATGTGCAGAGTGTCGCCAACTATTTATAGAGTCTCTTTGTCGGCTAGGGTTTACATAGAATAATTCCCATATGGAAGGGAATTATTCTTTAACTCAAATGACAGGATAATATCAAGGAGATTTACTGGAAATCGGATCCAATTACCTCGTTCCGACACGACCCGTGATGGGCCACATGCTAGTACGACCATTGGACCTAATTACCTACCTTTAACTTACCTGAGATGGAGGGGATTTATATTTACCATCTCCAAGAAGAAGGGTCGTCACTCCCTTCATACGCCTTACTGCTTCATCTAAGTAGGTTTGGGCTAGATCGTTGCGCTCCTGCCACCTCTTGGCAAAGTAGACGACCCATATTTTTGGACCTAATTACCTCGTGTCGAGCCTCACTTAAACGGGTCGTTCTCGTGTCGTGTCGGGCTGGCCCGATCCGTTTGACACCTTTAACCCTGAGAAGGTGTCGATGCTAGCCGTAGGACGAGCTGCGTGGTAGCTTGGGCTGCAGCTGATGCTGCATTTGAAAGTGAGTTTGATTTGCGCTAGAGCCACGTCATGGCCTAGTTATTAGGCTGCGACTTTCGCTGCGATTTGTCAATTGAGCTACGTTTCAGCCTATGCAAGAAGGACAGAGTGGGCCTCGCTGGCAAGTTGGACCTGTTGCAAGGGGCTATGGTGGTTTAGGTCGTGTGCCTTTTTTTTTCTTTTGCTACAAGCTAGGGTTTTTGACTTGTCGTTTTCTTCTTTTCTGCAGTTGTTCAGCTATTATGTCGTTTGACATGAGAAGTCGATCATCGAGTTCACAAGTGGCTTTGTATTTGTGGGGTGGCTCTCAGGTGCACAAGAAGAGGTTCGTGGCCAATTTGCATCGTATCAAGAGTAAGGCGCACTTCAAAATGTGGAGGACCTAGTTTGCTACTACCATACAGGCAGATGTGCATGTGAGGTTGGCGGAGCCTTCAACCGCATGTTCTACTTTTCCTTGGGTTTCAGATTACCATCTCAAAGTTCTTTAAGAAAGTGTTCCATGCTATTGAGTGTGCTCCTAGTCACTGTACTCTGAATTTCTACCTTGTCGTGATCTACTTTAACAATTTTTCTGCAAGCTAGGATTAACTTTGCAGGAGTTCTTCTACTTCTTTGAAGTGAGACGTTGCGAGAAGTACACTCAACTTCGCGCACATAAAGAGAAGTTGTTTAACAACCTTGGCCTCGACGATGATGCATTGAGTACGAATGTGTGGGAGGTCAACAAAAGATGGGAAGGTGATGTAGATGATGGTTCGTAGGTTCCTACTACTTATTGCCACGGCATGTCATGATCTGTTGATCTATATTACTTTATTTGAATTTCTTTCGGTTACTCAGCTCACTAACTTATATCCCCTGCTTGTAAAGGATGACATTAGCAAAAGGATTGATCTCGAGCCGGACATGGTTAAGGTTCGTCAATCCATGAACATCTTTGCGAAGTTTCACGAATGGCACGAGCACTGTAGAAAGGCACGTGGTCTTCCCCCGGCTAGAGATGTTGAGAGATGGAAACTACATGGCCCTAACTCGAATGATGAGCCTGACGAATAGGAGGAGTCCTTAACCAAACTCCTTGAAAAGAAGAAAGATGCTCCTAAGTTTTCCAAAGATGAAGTTGTGACCTCACGCATAAGAGATGTGCCTCTATTCAAGTCTTCTTCGAAAGAGATCCCGTCTACTGAGAAGACTAAAACGGGAACTGCTCCTTCGTCATCTGTCAAGGTTAAGCACTTCGTAGGTGTTGACACTAAGAAGGTTGGTGGCATGTAGAACATTCGGGATATTATGCTAAAGTCTTCAGTTGAAAAACACAAAACTGTAGATATGCCTTATAAATATGCACCAAGCCTTGTTCGTTTGCCGAGAAGCAAAAAGTTTCTGACTTTCTCAGGGAGGTTCGAGTCGTATGAATTAGCTAAAGGATAAGGATCAAACTCAGAAGGCTGCTTCTTTTCTTCGCAAGCGTGCGCCATCTGCGAAGTTACAGAAAGCCAAGTATGGAGTTGGTCCAGCATAGATGACTCCCTTTAAGGCGAGAATGGCTGCTGTGATGAAAGGTAAGGAGTCGTTTGCTCAAGCGAAAATTTCAACAAGTGCACGAGGTGATGGCCCAAAGGTTGACAAGCCTAGCTCTATTTGGGATGCGTGCATATCTGATCTGCTTAATACGAACTTCCTATTGAGCTCGTTTGCTTGTGTTGGACTAGTTGATCATCTACGTCAAGTAGGAGATCTTGGCATATTTTCAAGCCTTTCTCCGGTAAAGCTTAGAATTTTGCTTTGCTTAAAAAAATGAGTGATTTTCACTGCTGAGGCTATCTGGAGCTCATTTGCTATTACCATATCTTCTGCTCAGCTTGTCAAGTTGGAGAAGAGGAATGATGCTCTAACTGGCCTGCACTCGACCGAGCAATTGCGCTAGGAGATGAAAATATCTTACTTGAAGAGAAACATGTCCCTACTGAAGATTGCCCTTGTTCTGAAGCATGGTGAACCCAATTCCTCTGCTGTTACTCTCCATGAGCGAAAAGATGCCTACTTCCATCTTGAGCATGAGTTGCTAACATGAGCCACAACTATGTTAAGCTGCTGGCCAAGTTTAATGCCTACCGAGAAGCTGCTCATGAATCCAAGTCTGAAGTCATTGTTCATGCTTACAAGTCGGGCTACTTAGATTGCAAGAGAGGAGATGCTCCTTATCACTCCATTGAAGATGAGGATGTCGAATTGTTATGCCTAGAGATTCCCCTTGCTTAAGGTGAGCAGGTTAATGTTATGGATATGGAGAAGGTTGATGAGCGAGTAGGTGATGAGATTGTGGTCGATGAGCTTGCAGTCTAGGAAGATGAAACCAAGGATGACGCAACTAAAGAGGCAGAGGTTGATGCTGTGGAGCAAGTAGTCGAGGTTGATGAGCTCGTGGCCACAGCTGGTGAGCATGCAGTCACAATTGATGAGCAGCTGACTACAACTGATGAGTAGATGACATAGCTGGATCGAACTGCGGAGGGCATAGCTGATCAAACTAGAGTTGAGGGGGTTGCTGACCAAGAGTCACTTGCTAAAGTCTTGCAATAGATGAATATTATTTATATTTTTCCTACTTTGTTGCTTTATTTTTCTTGAAGTACTAGTCTTTGTTGACTATCCCTTTTTTGTTGAACTTTGGCTGCTTTGCAATAGAAAATGCAGTTAATGTTTTAACCAAAATTTGTGTTGAGTTTGTGGACTGCTTGAGTGCCCTGATGGCGCTTGAGTGGACAACTATAGTCGAAGTTGTACATTGCTGCTTTGGTGGACCTATTGGCTACTTGGGTGGACAAATGTAGTCGAAGTTGTGTGTTGTCGTTTTGGTGGACCTGTTGGCCTCTTGGGTGGACAACTGTAGCCGAAGCTATGCGTTACAGCTTTGGTGGACCTGTTGGTTGCTTTGTCAAATGAATATTCAAGGTTCTAGAACATCTAACGCTTCAGGTCAATAAATGGTCTGAATGAGGTATAGATCATGCTGAAATGACTCCTAAGTCCGTAAATGTCAAGAAGATGTGTATTATACTAAAAAGATGGAGCTAACCATGCCTAAGTCTAAGTCAGTATATGGTCTCAAGGAGATGCATATCATACTGAAAGGACATATATTCTGTTCAGGTACTGAAAAACCTCTCGAATTCATCGTCTTTTGGCTAAGTTAAAGGGTTAACTAGTCGCCTAGAACATCTCCCTGAGGATGCTAAGATGTTTACCCACCCTTCCTTAAAAGGGTGCCTTCCTTTACTGAGGGTGAAATGTTTACCCACCCTTAAGGAAAGGGTGCCTTCCTTTATTGAGGGTGAATATTTTTCGAACACTTCATTGAATGAATTTTTTTAACCTGCATTGATGCTAGTGTGATTATATCGCATTATTGAATGGAAACAACTGTATGAACAACTCGAAAACATCAACAATAACTTTTCTTTTTTGAATTGAAGTGTAGTGAACTTAGTCATGTGTTGGGGATTAAAGAGTTGAGTTGAGGCTTCACATATAATATTTCCAGAAGTGATACGCATTCCACTATCTCGAAACTTCTTTTCCCTCCATAGTGTCAAGCATGTAGCTTCCTCTGCCCACAGGTCAGCTGATCACGTAGGGACCATCCCAATTGGGTTTTATGTTTTTCGATCTTTCTCTATGTGCTATAGCGAAGGCTTTTCTTAGCACAAGGTCCCTAGGTTGGAATTGTCTGAACTTAGCTCTCTTATTGTAGCAGGACATCTATTGCTGCTGATAAGCTGCATCTTGCCTTCTCTCATTCCTTTTCAAGCAAGTCGAAGTTGAGTTTCATCGCTTGCAGTTTTGATCAACGTTGCCCACCTCGACGCACATGGATGAAACGATGATATAAGGAGGAATGATTAATTCAGTTCCATAGGCTAAGGAAAATGGGGTTTCACCAGTCAATCTCCTTTTGGTGGTGCGATAAACCCATAAGACTCTAGTCAGCTCATCTACCCACTTTCCCTTGGCCCTTTCCAACCTTTTCTTCTGGCAGTCCATCACGATCTTATTAGAGGCCTCTACTTGGCCATTGCCTTGTAGATATCTTAGAGTTTATAAATGTTGCTTCACAAAGAATCCGGTGATTTGCTTGCCAATGAATTGTGACATGTTGTCTGTGACTCGCGACTATGGGCAGCCAAAGCGATACATGATGTTCTTTCAGATGAATTATTCCATATCGGCTTCTTTAGTAGAGGGGAGGACTTCGGCCTCGACCCATTTAGTAAAGTAGTCGATGGCCACAATCATCATTTCTTTCTTAGCAGGAGTCGGTGGCATGATACCCACTAAGTTAATGGCCTATTGCATGGGCTATTTTGCGAATGATACACCTCAGTGGGTAGACTAGGAATTGGATTATATCGTTGACATTGATGACATCTTTTGACATACTCTGTGGAGTCTTGGCAACTGGTAGGCTAGAAGTAGCCTATGCTAAGAGCTTTTTGGGCTTGTGATCTACCCTAGAATGGTTTCCACACTCATTTGCTCTAGATCTTTCTTTGTTTCTGTTGACCAGCTTCACTTCTTTATCTAATGGAGTGAATTCGTAAAGAAATATGCTAAAGCCTAGGCTTTTATAGTAGCCTTCAGTCGGTAGAAGAGGTTATATTGACTCAATTCGATAGCCCATTTCATGAGTCAATGAGAAGCGTCGGGGCTATGAATAATCGATCTCAAAGGAAATTTTGTCATGACGATAATCCAGTGAGCTTGGTAGTAGGGTCTTAACTGTCTCGTAGATACTACAAAGGACTAAAATGAGCTTATCCATTTTCAGATAGCTCGTCTCTACATCGAGGAGAGCTTTTGATGTATAGAATACCGGATGTTGTGTTCGAGCTCTTCTCGGATGAGTTCTAAGCTGACAGCTTAGTTGAACACCGCCCAGTAGATGAATATGTCCTTGCCTAGTTACGGTTTTGAGAGCATGGGAGGTGAAGTGAGATATGACTTCAGTCTTGCAAAGCTGTTTCACACTCTTAATCCCACTTGTCTCTTTGTCCTTTCCTTAAGGCTTTGAAGAATGACGCATTTGTTGGTAGACCTCGAAAGAAATTGGTTGATTGCGGCTTTGTATTTCTTTCATTGTGGCAGGTGACTTCATGTTGAGGATGCCATTGATTTGATTAGGGAGAGCCTCGATGCCCCTTTGGGTGACTAAGTATCCCAAAAATCGGCCACATGAGACTCCAAATGTGCACTTGCCTGGATTCAACTTCATGCGGTATTTTTTGAGCATGTTGAAGGCTTCGGTGAGGTTTTTGATGTGATCTACTCGCTGAGGAGCTTTGACCAGCATGTTGTCTGCGTAAACCTCCATAGTCTAGTAAGTTGCTCCGGCTTTCTTCAACCCAAAGGGCATGACTTTGTAGCAATATGCATCTCTTCAATTATGAAATAAGTCTTTACTTTGTCGTCTTCGTGCATCATGGTTTGATTGTAGCCAGAGTAGACGTCCATAAATCTGAGCAGTTGGTTACCGAAAGTTGAATCCACAAGTTGAACAATTCTTGGCAATGGAAAGTTGTCTTTCAAGCATGCCTTGTTTAGATCTGTGTAGTCTACACATACTCTCCATTTGCCTTGATCCTTCTTTGCCACCAGAACAAAGTTGTCTTTTGAGTACACCTGGGGGTTTGTTCGCTAAAGGCCCTCTGATGCCTAAGTCAGTAAAAGGGATCTTGGAAGATGCATCAAATATTGAAATGAATGAGTTTTCTCTCATGGGGAGAGCTAGGCGGCAATAACCGTGTGTGAGGGTGTGTCTGGAGCCTTGAGGGAGATGAGAGATAGTGGCCTGAGGGGGAGAGAATGAGAGTGCTTCTCTAGGGTTTTTCGGGTTAGAAAAGGATTACCTCATGTGTGGAGTGTAACCATCTATTTATAGAGTGTCCTTGTCGGCTAGGATTTGCAGGGAACAATTTCCATATGGAATGAAATTATTCTTTTCCTTAAATGACATGATAATATCAAGGAGATTTGCAAGAAATCGGATCCTTAATTTGGGGAGATATTCTTATCATAAATCTAGGACAATTGGCTATAATTGGCTAATTAAATCGGATTTAATTAGCATAATTATTTGATCTAAAAAATATTTCATGATCCATGTATCGTCTTGTGATTGATTGCCAAAATTCATGTTCCCATGTAGACAAATGTGTACTTCCACGATCCATCCAAATTAAATCTAGGAAATCAAAGTGCGGATGTCGTTTTGCTTTTGCTTTTGAAAATTTGAATACGTGATCAAATACCCAGTAACTTCTGCTTTTGAAATTTCCACAAACGACAAAAATAGCAACATTCCATCCATTCTGCTTTTGGTCAAGTGTGGCTGCTCAATTAGCTATACTTTTCTACACTAGTCAAATGATAACAAAAGTCCTCGTCACCAAAACCAATTTTGGCTTCTTACTACATCAATAGGTGGTCTACTTCAGAAAAATAAAAGAAGGAATGTAATGGGAATTTGAATTTATGTAATCTATAAAAGGAACTACCTCTGCATCTTCCTGCATTTTTTTTATACAAATTTATAAATAAACCCAATCCTAGACATGTATTTATAAAAAAACCCAAGCACTATTTAAACATAGAAACACACCCAAAATCAACCCCAAAGTCAACTTTTTGGGTGTGTTTATAAATGGGTTTTGAGTGTGTGTAATGATGGGTTTTGGGTGTGTTTATAAAGTGTTTTGGGTGTTGGGTTTTTTTATAATTTCAACCTCCATTTTGGGTGTTTTAGTAAAACTCCCTTTTTTTTTTCTTTCAATGTGTAATGTTTATCGTCATGTAGCATTTTGCTTTTGAATTTATGTACTAAAAATTGAATTGAATTCTATAAAGAAAAATCCCTTTAGGAAGCAAATTAATGTAGCATTTTGGAAATTAACTAGTGTATTTAAATAAAAATTAATAGTCATGTATGAAATATATGTTCATTGCATTCAACATCTATGGTAGCAGAAGCATTTAGGACCAGGTAACATCTCACATTGCCCATGGATTGCGGCCTCCAAATTCTTGCATTTCTGGTTACATTTTCCTGAATTCCAACATGAACCATGCCACACTATGCTTAGTCGTGAGCTACTGCATCCTTCACAGCTTGCTTCTTACGTAAAAATACACACAAAAATACATCATACTAAACAAAAATGTATACGAAAAAGATCACGAGCCGTATACATACGTATGTACGCTTTTGTAGGAATATATGCGCTTGAACATCTGCATGCATCAATGGGTAAAATCTGAAGTACATAACCATATGTATCTCTGTGCTAGCTAGAAAACGTATAACATTTCCAAAATGTCCACCTTTATAATAACAAGTAAATATTAGGAGTCTTTTAGTATATGCTAGTAATTATAATTCATTATCTACAAATGATGTAATGAAACTATTTTAATTAAATTGATTACTTATATACGCAACCATATTGGTGAAGAGGATGGCATTCAAGATGAGAAAGGAGTGGATCAAATGTGCAGTCTTGGCCATATATACTTTCGTCAAATGTGCAGTCTTGACCATATATACTTTCGTCAAATATATACTTTCGTCAAATGTGCAGTCGTCAAATGTGCAGTCTTGACCATATATACTTTCGTCAAATATATACTTTCGTCAAATGTGCAGTCTTGACCATATATACTTTCGTCAAATGTGCAGTCTTGGCCATATATACTTTCGTCACCTTGATGGGCAGCCAAAATTCATATTCCCACGCGTGTAATTGACAAATGTGTACTCCCACGATCCCTCCAAAATCTAGGAAATCCAAGTGAAGTACAGATGTCCTTTTCATTTGCTTTTGAAAATTCGAATCCATGATCAAATACCCAATAACTTCTGCTTTTGAAATTCGAATCCATGACCAGGCAAACTCCACAAACCTGGGCAGATCAGCAACAACAAAAATTAGAAAAAATACCAAATTTTTCAAATTTTTTTTTTAATAAATACAGTCATATTCTTCATTTTCAACATCAAAATTAATGGTTTAAGTATAAAAAATAAAAAATAAATTAATTCGAATAGTAATTACCCTTGCCCTTACTCTTTGGGGTGGAAACCAAAAAAGTAAAGACTTCTACTATTTACGTGAATAGTGACAAACATTGCCTTATCTTTACCTTGCCCTTGCCCTTTGGGGTGGAAGTGCTCTTATATGTATCGGTCAAGTTTGGCTGCTCAATTAGCTATACCTCTCTACAGGAGTCAAATGATAACAAAAGTCCTCGCCAAAACCAATTATTGCTTCGTACTACATCAATAGGTGGTCTTGTAAATTGTGGAACTATGGAAGAGCTTTTTCCTCATTTACTGCACCTTTGGAAAAATATATGTTTTTGATTAATCTATACATTTGGACAATGTCAGAATCAAACAAAATTTGGAAAATTTGAAATCTTGAGTGGACTTGACTTGGAAAAGTCATCAAATATGCATTTAGTAATTTGTGTGTTTTTTACTGTTAAAAATGTAACATCCCACATCGACCAACGGAGAGAGAGTGATGTACCTTATATGTATATGCCCACCTCCATTTAGCACGAGGCCTTTTGGGAGTTCACTGGCTTCGGAGTCATGGGAACTCCGAAGCTAAGCGAGTTAGGGCTAGAGCAATCCCATGATGGGTGACTTGCTGGGAAGTTGCTCGTGAGTTCCTAGAAACAAAACCGTGAGGGCAGAGAGAGGGGCCCAAAGCGGACAATATCGTGCTACGGCGGAGCCGATCCCGGAATGTGACAAAAAATTACGTGACTTATATTCTATTCTAAAAACTGAACCGGTGTATTCTGTGTTGGAGGTGATGGATCATTTTATTTTTGTGACCTCAATTTGTCCGTACATGGTAATGCCCCTAGTCAATAACTATAATAATTAGCTCATTATTATGAGCCCAACTCTTAAATGGGAATTTGAATTTATGTAATCTATAAAAGGAACTACCTCTGCATCTTCCTGCATTTTTTTTTCTTTCAATTTGTAATGTTTATCGTCAAGAAACTAATGAGAGGAAGAAGTAGCAGAAGAATGAACATTGTCCAAATTACTCTGTTCTTGTGGTATATGAGTGCGGTAGCATCAGAAGAAACATCCTTGGCAAAGCCTAATTGTTCATCGCAATGCGGATCAGTCACTCAAATCCCATATCCTTTTGGAATTGAAGCTGGCTGCTACCTTGATGGCTGGTTCCAAATAATATGTGACAACTCAACCAACCCATCGAGAGCTTTCATGAACGTTACCGGATTGGAGGTGCTGGAAATTTCTGTTGAAGGCACACTAAAGGTGAAAAGCCCTATTACCTTCTCTAATTGCAGTAACAAGCCAGTAGGCCGCCAGACGCCTAACTTGGAAGGAAGCCCGTTTGTGTTCTCCCAGAAAAACAGATTTACTTCATTGAGCTGTGGAGAAGTCGCCTTGATGACATCCTTAGATGGTTCAACAATTGCTGGCTGCTTGTCCATATGTGATTATACAAGTACTAACTATCTACGAACGAAAAGCTGCATCGGGATGAATTGCTGCCAGACCACCATTACTCCATATCTCAGGTCCTTCAATACTAGTTTTGGAGAATTATTATTAAATGCTGACAGACAGACATGCAAGTATGCCTTCCTTGTAGAGCATGATTGGTTTACATCAAACTCAACAAATGTTTCTGCCATTTATGAAATGGACTACGTTCCTATGGTGCTGGAATGGCACGTATTTGATTTGAAATATACCAAGTCAGATATATACGGAACAAATAATTGGGGAGATGATAAAAGTACGGAATGCAGCAGCAGCCAATGTTTCTGCTCAAAGGGCCACCATGGAAACCCTTATCTTCTTCATGGATGTCAAGGTAAACTTCTAGCTACCATTGTCCAACCTTCAAAAGTCTTTATTTCTTTTTCATGAATTTTTTCCTTTTTTACTGATTTCTTAATACTTTCTCCACTCTATAATTTCTCATGGCAACCTTTTGCATGGCAAAATGATGAGTGGAATTGTATAAAAATAACTCATATTCATTTTTTATTATATTTTCTTATCATCTGCCAAAACTTTTACCTTCCATTTGTCAATTAAAAATCAGACATCAATGAATGCGACGATCCCAGTAGATGTGGTTCCGGCATTTGCGTCAATTATCCTGGGGGGTTTAAGTGTCAATTGCCTGATCAACGATCATCACGAGTTACTCTAGCCATTATAGGTATGCCCCTGCACTAATCCTTTGATTATTGATGACTAAATTGAAAAAAATACATATATATATATATATAGAGAGAGAGAGAGAGAGTTGTTCT